CTCTCTCTCTCTCTCAGTCTCCCCACGCATTCCCCATGATGTTAAGGTGTAGAAATTCGTAAAAATATATAAACGTAAGGTTAAATTTTCTTTTCATCATTTATCGCCGCCAAATGATAAGCGGTATTAATCGATAATAGAATCCTTTGAATAACATCGGGTCAAACATTACCACTGCTCTGATCCACGAATTTGCATATTCGATGGTTGAAAGGGTGAAATGGAAGATATTAATTGTTCGTAAATAATATCAAATCGATAATCATAGTTTATATGGGTAATTAACACTTTGAAGTCCTGCAAATATGAAGGTTACTATATCAGTTCTTCTATAGCATTCTGATCTCAGATAAATTCTTTTGTCCTGAAGCGGACTTCTGTACCATAATTTGAATTTCGAAATTGTATTTCTTATTTCTCAATTTGATGTCTTCAGGTCATATATCTAAGCGTTTGGCATGCAAGCAGAGGAGACAAAAGAGGACAAATGTTGTTCACAACTTAGGTCATAATGACCTCATCTCCATGTCCTCAACAGGTAGACTTCCCGCCTGTTTTATACACATCTGCTCCCAAATAATGTACTGGTGAAAAAGAGAAGGAACTGCCACAGAGAAGAGGGAAAGAGAAAGTTTCGGTATTGTGGTGGTAAGCTAGATATGAACTTACGCAAAAGTGTATCCGTATTCGAGATGACCATTTAACGCCTTCGACCTATCCACTTCACCCCATTTCTAACCACACTTCTCACTTCATCTCCTTCGCTTTAATTACCCGTCGTGAGAATCCCATGAAGATGGACTGGAAAGCCTTGTTGGAAAGGTTTTCAATCGATTAGCAGACGCCTTGTCATTTATTACTTAATCTGTAATCTGTGCTTCAGATGAAAGCGTCATTAACTTTGTGAGTCACGCGGAATCGATACCTTTTCGAATCTTTTGACCCTTCCAATGATTCCTTAACTTTTCCCTTCAACAAAAGCATATTCAGACAATAAACATAAGGGGGGTGATAATAATGCCAAAATTCAGTAATAAAGTACAGACAAAACTATTCCTTCTTCAGCGATTTATTGAATTATAATCTAAAATTATATCTGCTTCATGTTTATTTAGCAAACTTCAACCCGTCCTGATAACGTATTATAATGTCTCATCTACAACTTCACATTCAAGTCTTTCATTTTAATGATTCGCACAAACTTTTGGTGTCCCTAAGGTTTAAGTGATCAGTTTACCAATTTTTTCAGCCACAGAGTTAGCAAATTTCATGAGATTTCCATGACTTGGGCCATGATCCCTCTAAAAGTGAAATCCTTTAGTAATCCATGTCCAAGTATTACGCGACTTCTAAAAAACTTTAAGCAATTATGAAGCTTTAACACTTCTAGACTTTTAGCAATTATGAACTACAATATTGAGAAGACATCGGAATACATAAATTACTAACATTTATAATGTAATCCCTTTAAACTATCATATTTGTTTGTTGGCTAGTGTTATTTGTGACTCTTATCCTTTAGTATCAAGCAATTCGGAAATACTGCCATGGTGTACTTTCGTTTCCATCAACACTCTTCATCGTACTACAAGACCAACAAGTGCGCGTCCAACACATTACAATATGTACCATCTCACCCCACACACATACCATCTCACACACCCATGACCCTCTATCTACCTATGTCGGGATAACAACACCACCAACCCAAGAAAGCCAACCTACACTCCCACACCCAAGCCACACGTCTACACTCAACCTAAACCACACACCTCAGATTATCCCGCATCGGAAGCACCACACCAAATTATGGGGTCAGCCGGTGCAACGTACATCCCGTCGTACGTCATGCCACTGTGGCAATCTCCGGATCATCACACCCCGCATTACGAACTACGAAGGATCGTTAAGCTTCAGCGAACCTTCTATCTTTTTCATCAAATATGTTTCTTGCATACAGCCTTGAGTGAGATGTAGGAAAGAGCAAGACACACATACATGTGAACATTCCCTCCTTCTCTCGCCGTCGCTATATTGCATCATTATAGCACCGCGCCAACTTGATCAATGCTGAGGATCGAGAATCACGCATTACATTGCTTACATATAATGAGTAGGTTTAAGGAATCAGCTATGAGCTATTGCAATGTCTTGAACTTTGAAATTGTCCGAATTTGTATTATTATCGCTGACACTTCAGTTTGGATAGGAAATAGCAGTAGGTCATCGGCGGGAAATAGCCGCATGAATAGAGGTAAAATTCTCAAAATATCTGAGAGGTAAAATGAAAGTAAATGGCTTGAGTTAGCAATATCTCAAAAGATGATGGCTCTAAAACAATTTCTTTCAACGGTGTAAGCAACCTTTTCTTTCTTTCCAGTCGATTTTTTATTTTTAAAAAGAATATTTACAGGAGAATAGCAATAACCTAAACTAAAAGAGCAATAAATAATCGAAAATTCCGACAATTCAGAACGATACTGAAAAGAGAAAATTAAGGTACTGAGAACATTGATAGTTGAATTATATAACGACCTAAATAATGCAACAATGCAATAACCCAACACTGCGACTTGGTTACAAATTATTAACAATCGAATTGAACACATTTTGTGATGAGCCAAAAAATCAATCACAGGACATATTCAATGGTGCATGGAGATGCTTTCCGAACGGATATTTTTAGGGACAAATCAGAAGCCTTTAGCGACTTCCCGTTCTCTATCGCAGTTGACATTATGTTCATTTATCCAATGGTGTTTTCTAGAACTAAAAACAGAAACACCATTAAATTTTCGGTATGCCACTTCCAAATGAATATAGAAAGAATATGAAAAGGACGAATATTACTGTAAAAATACACAGAATTGAAATTCAAAACATTAAAAAATCCTGCACTAGCAAATTTGACATCAGTTATTTGTTACAGCACATACAATCGAAATACTGGTGGCAAAATTAATATGATCTCAAGAATTGAGTTCAGAAAACAACAGCATAATAATCTACCAGTCATGCTAACTCAAAACGGTACTTTCTATTTTTAGGTGTCTTATATAGCGGTGGAAGATTAAACCCCTTTAACGGTTTTCTGGTTCCTTTGTCGGCCGATCTTAATGGTGATGAAGTTTTCGGTCCGGTCTGAAAATTTCTGTTTTCAAACAACCTTTAATATAGTCTGAATAAAAAGGAAAACACTTTCCTCACTGCCTGTAACAGAGTTAGAATTATGTAAGGGTAATGGAATTGCTATATGCCCTAAGCTGATTGAACACAATGCCCAGAAAATAATGAAAATAAAAAATGTTAAAAAAAAACGAAGATTGAAAAATAAGTGTAGGGAAGAAATGCTACCGTTGGTGGTCGAACGGGCGTGATCACCGAGTGAAGGCTTGCCGTACTTGCTGAGACAGATTTCATATGTGACAGCAATGTATCTGGACCCTTAAAAAACAAAGGAAAATATGAATGTATTCTGAAGTGACATAATTTCATCTCATCACGATGAAGATATAATGAAGAATTACATGTTATCCACATATTTTTTAGAGAAACAAGCAAGAGAATATATTATTTCTATTGTCCAATTAAAACCAAAAAAACCTTTGATACTGTCTGATCAAATCGTGTAAGTGGTTTTACTTTCGCTACTTTAGCTGAAGAACAAGGAGTAGTAAAGGCTGACGGAGCGCCACGCTTCTTCGGAGTAATTATATTTGATATATTCGATGTGCTACCTGTGAATGCCTCCACTTGTTTCTATAACATAAAATGAGATTTTTTTTGTTATTATAGATACGAAGAAGATAAGCTAGTAAGAAGGCGGGCAAGTTCCAAATACTTAACAAACAAAGTTCAACAAATAAATTAGTCACTGGTTAACAACTCGAAAATCTTGTTCATTTTGTGCAATGCAATTTCATAAACGCTACAGTTAAAACGATTTTTTTCTTAATACAGACAAGCAAATAAGCAAAGAATGAGAACTGAAAATATAAACCTTTCGTTTACGTTCAAGCTCCTTATTTATTCTATATTCTTCCATTATGGATTCGATATGCTCGCAGGGTGATAACCCGTCCATCAGAATCTGATTATCATGAGTTGACTCGTACTTCTCCACCTCCTCCTTCAACTCGTTTTGTATGATTGGAAGTCGATGCGCAATGAATTTTTGTCGCTAAATTCAAAAAATATGAAAAATTAGCGGTAGAAATCAAAAAAAAAATCAAAAATATTTAGAAAATGAAATCGGCAGAAATTTATTAGATATCCTGACCTGAAGCAAACACTCTTCGAAAACTTTTTCTGAGCCTTAATATTCTGCAAAAGTGTAAATCTGAAGTAATAAAAATACAAACTAGCGCATCTAGATAGGCAAGCTTATGATAATGTAATACTCAGTAGTGGTATACATTCTACCTAATTTCCTATGTCCTAAGATTTACAAACATTATGAACAGAATGAATGACAACTGGCACCAATTAGTTAATAAGGACAACTGAAAGATGTTTCTATCTATCACGTAGTTGTCGGAAGCTATTTACTACCAACTGAAGGAATGAGTTGATAATTCCAGTGAAAATCTTAAAATCACCAACATCTGATACATACCTTCAAAGCTGTTTGCAGCTCACAACCACGATTGTGATAACGTGATTTATCGTTTGCGCGACGCTCAAACTCAACTTTTTCATTCCAAAGATCTTTCCACTCCTTCATTTTCTTGTATACTTCCGCTCGATCAGCGAGAAATTTTTCTAACGACTGCACTTGTTCCTTTGCTTGCTGGATATCATGCACAGTATGGATCGCTGCAGGTGATATTATTTATCGATGATACGACTTTGGAACTTACCCACTACTTGCCAATTTGTTTAAATGAAATGTGCCCTTGTAAACATTTCGTTAATTTCGTTATCTTTCATTTTTTTTCGTTATCTTTTCATTAATTTCGTTAATTTCGTTATCTTTCATTTTTCGTTCATTTCGTTATCTCACCTTCCCATTGTGTTACAATAATAATATGTAAATTCTAAACAAGTGTAACTGCATACATGGATTGAATTCTCGCGCAATATTTCGTTCTACATCTGGAACATGACATAAATCCCAAAGCTCGCAAAGTCTTAGTAACGTCTCGGTATAATCAAAACAAGCCTGCTCAATCCATTCGTTATATTCCCCTTTAACCTAAATTAATGAAACAATTTGACCAAACATTGAAACACAACACTGTATTACAAGCATTAAAAAAAAAAAAATAGGAAAAAAAACCAATAAAAAGCCAAAAGATGGACTCTTTTGAAGTTAGTATTAGGGCTACAGAGATCTATGCAACAATTTTTCGCAGAAAAATACCTCATCAAAAGCACTTGCAAATTCATCCACGAAATGCTTATCCCAAACTAGTTCTTCACTGTCCAAATCCAAAGTGGTGAATGTCTTGCCTAATTCCTTTGACGGCGTACTACCCATTTGCTTGTACCAACGTTTCATATCCACCTGCCACTGCTTACAATGTTCCATGCGTTCAGTAAGCAATTCATTCAAATGAGAGACACGATCTTGAAGACGAACAATAGCCGCATCATCACAAACCTAAAAAATTACACAGTATTTCATTATTGGTTGACGTGAATCAACCAATTTATCAAAATTAAGAGTCAGTGTAATTAGAACAATGTGAATGCAGTAAAATTAAAAACAAATTTTATTTCACGAACATCATACGCATTTCTCCGAGTTTCCATATTAGTTGAAAAGTTTTCTCTCAAGGTGAACGAAATCTGCTGAATCTTTTTCTAAAGATTATAAATGGAAATGCTTCGATATATTGTAAGCTTACGTACAGCTGTACTTGATGGAAGGTCTTCAATTTCTTCACCGGTTTGCACCGCAAGCTTTGCAAGTTCCTCAACTAACTTTTTCTGTCCTTGCAACCTATCATCTTTCAAACTCTGCAGTCGTCCTATGTCTTGATGCAGTGCACGATACTGAAAGCATGACAAATAATCTAAAAAATTTCTGGGCACGAATTCGGAAATCCAAGCATGCCCGACCACCATATGGAAATGCAATGGCTTAAAATTAAATAGTTTGAATGAGTTGCATTCATAAGGAAAACAATTCATCATTTCAAAATGTACAGGAGCTTTAATGGAAGTTCAGCGGGATTTACCAATGCGAGTGAGCCTGGTTTCATATGGATCCTCCCAATTGGAGGTAAATGAAGTTCTTTGCACAGACCATCTACTTGCCTATTCATTTCCTCGATACCTTCCTGTATTCCTTCAACCATTTCTTCTTCATCAGCTACCTGGAATATAACAAAAAAAGAGAAAAGAAAGTTGCAGGAAATCTAAGCCTGTTAGGAACTTGACCATTAGACCACTGTGCATAAGATATTTTGCAACACTCACCACTTTCTGGATTCCTAAAAGAGCTCTTGATCAACTTTGAAAGATATCTTAGAGGCTAAATCTTAAATGTTGAAATAGAATGAAATTTACATTCACAATATCCTAAAAAGAATCGGTTTGTTCAGTTAGCCTAACTCCCGTAACTTCATTTAGAATTTGAGGGTATTTTACAGCTCAATTTGTCCAAACAACACTTCCGGAACACTAAGTATTAAAACGTGAAATTTCAAAAAGTTAAAAAAATCGAACCATTTGATTCAGAAGATCGGAAATATACAGGAAAAACTTCTCGATACGTCTGCATCTCATGCATTCCTCCATATTTATCCGGTCCCACAGCTGATTCAACCGATCGATGGTGTCACGGATGGAAGAAACCGCTTCGGCTGTCGAAAAGTTGACCGAAACCCTAAAATTGTAAATCGAAAAATTGTAATATAAGCTTCAAAACTGAAAGATTGGCGAATATGGTAATGTCAAAATTATTTTGAAGTTACAGGAATACCAATAAACACAACTTGCCGTCTACGTGATAAACTCTCTTTAGTCATTGCTCAAAAACTCAATAAATCCACACAAATTGCACTTAGATCAATATCGGGAGGCTGAAAAATATTAACAGATCATTGCAAATATAATCTTTTTAAAAAATAATTAGCCAATATTTCTAAATCAATACTTTTCTTTCATTTTTGATATAAAGCATTTTCTCACATTAGTAGTAAAAACATGAAAGCAAATCATAGCAATAAACGACAAAAGAAAGAGTTCTAACTAGAATCATATATGGATTAGTACAAAATATTCAAACTAGCAAAGGTTGAAGTCCAATCTGTTCTATTCTCGCTGTCAATTAAATAGTTTTGTTAAGTAGACAACAAATGGCGAAAAAAAAACAAGTTCGGATGATATTTTAACCCGAATTCATTCTGACAACAATCATTATTAAATGTTTCACCTATCCTTGAAATTTGAATTAAGTTTCAATCAATTGGATTGATTAGAATTAAACTAAATTTTTGGATATCAAACTCCAAGTAGTTATTACTAATTACTACCAATTCTGGATCATAACAACTCTCACTCAAAATTTAAATCAAATAAATTACCACTCTGAGGAACAGAACCAAAAATTCAAATTCCTCTTTACCGCTTCTTCATGAAATTCAAGTTTTCACCGCCTAATACAACGCAATATCAGGGGCAGATTCCAGATTGAAATGTTGCGCTGGTTATTGTTTGTCTGTTCAAATGCGTATTTGACGTGTTCACCCTCAACACATCAAATAAGGCGAACACGTCAATTTATCACGATTCAAAATTCAGCTGAACACGCTACAATGATTCACAACTTTTGCTACTGAATAAACAGTTTGTTATTTTGTTGAACCAATAACTAATTGAGTTGAAAATATTTGCTACAACAAAAAGGAATGATAATTAATCAGTCCAATAATTACATGCTAAAATACAAATGCATGAGCTAATTCCGATAACTCAATATTGTACAGTATTATGAAGTGTTAATTAAAAACAAAATGAGGATAAGCTATATAGGTCGGTTATATTTACATCTTTCAAATAGTTGGGAGAGAGTTTTTTCTTCTTTTATTGCTGGGAATGAAATAAACTGCTAAGGAAGAGAAGGAAATTGTTGAACGAATTTACTAATTTCAGAGAAAAAACAAAAAGTCTAGTAGAAAACACCGATTAGTATAGCGAGAACGGAAAATCAACGACGAAAAAGAACACTAGTCAATCGATTAAT